TCTATTCATTCATCCATTTTCAAAGCCTGCTATCCTTCTCAGCGAAGAAGCGGCTTCAAGCAGTCCTTCCAGTGGTTCAGTGGTCTGCCGATTGTGCAATCCCCAGAGACTTGAAGATTTCGAAGACCAGGCTGTTATCCGCGTTCTGTATGCTCGAGCCATCCTATCCTCGGTCTGTGCATTGCTGCCTGAAATGCGACTTTGTGCTAAGGATCGCCTTACCAGTTTCGCCTTTGGCATTCTTCTGACACACCTGGACTGACGCAGTTGTGTCCTTTAAAGTTGGAGAAAGAGCGGTTCACAAACGAGAGTGTTGTTGTGTTGAGCTACATTGTTGTCCGACTCATCGAGCCTCGTCACATCAGCCTTCTTGCGAAGGAATATCATATTTGCCTTCTGCTTCCTGGATCGCATTTACCCACTTAATCGTAAGTGTTCATGGCCGTAGGTGAGGATAATCTCACAGATGGACTTCAGTATAGTCAGCTTCGTCTTGACGTTCAGCTTTTCATCAGCTCTTCATGACTACAGGCAGGCTTAGTCGGTTCATTACTGCGAGAACTTCATGATTTTATGAATTTAATTGTTAATTCATAATTCATGAATACTGTAATTCATGAATTACACTTGAAAATACTTAAAAATTGCTGATAGCCTTACATCAGACTCAGTAGCTGTTCTTGAGTGCAAAATCGATTATGAAAATTGGTCTTAATATAATTAAGCTCATATCAAAAATGAATAGCCCACAGTCGCTACCTCAATTAGCCACTGTGTCAGTAGTCAGTAAATTTTCTGATGAAATCCATTTTTTATGCTGCATGACCGACGTACTCATTTAAATTATTGCACGCCGTTTCACTACATTTTGAAATGGCATTTCTGTAACACGATTAGTTATCACAGAATGCTATCAGAATACTATCGCTGAACTTGTGCGATGTGAATATATGGTTTGGTCTCTGATGGACAGAGAAAATTTAAAAGCGGTACTGCAGTCATGAAATATCAGTATACAATATTCAGTAGTTTTGTCTCTCGTGCACTGGAACGGCTTTTGTGTGTCGCCTGTGTGGCCTTGACCAGCTGTGTTTCACAGAAAATGCAAAACCAAAACCGCGTTGCGTTTGCTGCTTCCCCAGCAAATAGACTGACCATAGTCTGCACATTGTACTCTGCAAACCATTGACGGATCTGCATGGACTGGTCGAACCAGTAAAACGCCTAATCAGTAAAGAAAAATCAAGAGGACAATTTTTCAGTAAAAAACATTCGCTTTTGGCTTGCAGTATTCATTTAGATCACTTGGATCGGTCAGTAATCGGCGAGAATGGCCGCCATCCCTCGCAGTTTCGAACCTTATCCCTCCAAACACTGTTTTGCTGATTCTCATGCAGTCACCACCGTCTTGAGTCTTGGTGGGCGACCAAGCGACCTACTTAGCTCGGGAGTAGTTAGCCCGCGGGGGTATCAGTTGGCGATCATCACCAGCAATCTTCTGTCGGTAGGCCGAGATACTTGACTGGCCTCCCGTAGCTTTTCCCTTTTGCTTTCGAATCCACAATATCCTTCACTTCCGTCCGTTGGCCTTATTGCGGTGTGATCGCGACGTGAAATTCCCAACATTCGATTACAGATTGCTGGCGCTTGTAGGCTTTGGCGAGTGGTCATGTCTTACAGTTATATAACATCGTCAGCAAGCCCTTAAAATTGAAGAGATAGGACTGAGTATCTCACCTGATGTTGCTGAGGAGGAAGTCCTCGATGGAATGCAGTGCGGCATCTCTTCCACAGTAGAATCTCATCCCACCTGACCGTGCAGCCTTGACGTCAGAAAATGGACATGATATGGCATTTAATCGCCGGGTATATGAAATAATCGTTATGACAGTTGTAGCGGACATTGTTAATATCTTAATGGCGCGTTCTTTGCTTTTCGAATTAGTTGCTTGATGGCTTAACATGTAGGAGGTTGCCAGAAAAAATGCACTTCGGTAAGCCATCATCGTGTCATCGTCTCAAAGAAGAACGATTCTTAAACGACGAATCGTTCATAGCAAACAGCATATCAAGTTTGTCTTTCTGCGCTACGTGCGCAATAAAACGTAACCTGAAACCCTACATGCAAGACATTCTAGTAGTTTCAAGTAATTCTGGTCTCTGAACGGTCATCTGAACTAAATAAACCATATTCAGGTGACAAGACGATCCAAGGAATGTAGTCAAGTGAAGACATCAAATGCAAACCAGAACCGGCTTCGACGTTGTGAGTAAACAGGCTTAAAGTCACGTGTGCAAAATACCGCGCGCATAAAGGTGATAGGTCTTCTGATTCCATGGATGGCAGCATGAGAAACAGGAAAATTTTATTTACAGAAATCCTTATGTTTCCACCGAAATGACACCGATCATCATCAGGGAATGAATAAGATTCAAATACAAACTGCTGGGTCAGTTGGAGCATGACCCGATTGGTGGGACGTTTGATCGTTCGCCAACTAAGCAATTAATTATGCTCCGTGCCGCGCCAGTGCCAGTCGAGTCAGCACAACTATTGG